GTGCAGAAGTCATGCTGGCTGCTTTCCACATATTTAAAATAAATCTTCATTACCACAGTTACAAAGAGCAAAATAAGGGATGAGACACACCAAATACAGCAGCAGGGATCATAATGCAGACTTTCCTCAGGTAAGGAGAAATTATGACTATTATTCTTGAAGGGGAACAGTCTTCAAAAACTGGTGTATAGTTTGAAGTCTCTACTTTTGACATAATTTGTAACAGAGTCTCAGAGAATTAACCACAGAAAGATGGAGGTTAAATCACATGACTGAATCACATGTTGTTGTTGAGAAACCAGACAGGTATCAGGACAGGTTCACAGATATTTCAAAAGTACTCTTCATACTCCAAAATATATATATTTTTAATTTTATTATTGTTTCTACTTTGGTCCAAAATTAATCTAGAATTTATAATATTATTTTGTTATTTACCAGCAGTTAACAAAGAGATGATTGATAGTCTTAGTTCAAAAGTAAAACCTGACATTCATGTTTAAAGATGTAGTTTCATTTTTGTTTATTAGATAGATGTATGACAGTTTTGTTTATTATTTATTTTCTTATATTACTATACTGCATTATTTGTGTTCTTAATGACAGAAGGGTCATACAATTTTTCTTTATTTTGCTTAGTTTTGTACATCTTTGCGGTCACGTTTACTAAAATGTTGATGTGTTTAGTGCTGTGTCACTTTCTATGTTTATGCCATTCTTTGTCTTATGAGCCTACATTGAGTTAAGTAATAATTTGCTTACATGGAGGAATATATAACAACTGGAGTGCTCAGAAAGCACCTGACCGTGTGATCGGCTGGAGGAGCTAATTGTCAAGACTCTGGATTTCCCATCACTGTACATGTTGACAACAGAGCAGAAAAAAAGGACTGACGATGTAGAAATCATTAAAACTATTAATAATGATATTAATCCAATTATTATTAATATTTTACAGTTTATATAATCTATTTAATGTTTTAAATAATGTCAGAAAAGCTGTTTGTGTTATGGATTTATTAACAGAAGATAAACAGGAAAACATCTCATTTTACAACACAAGTCAGCAGATTTGATCTCATTTAGCTCAATGTGATCTGAGCAGAACATAATGTAACAGTTTAAAATTAAATTAATCTTATAAAGTCACTGTAATGCTGCKTTCACACCGAACGCGATTTCAGCTTCTAAATCGCATCCAACRCTTCAAGTTGGACGCTTGTGCACTTTGAGGTCAGATGCAGGTCAGCTCTTGAAGCGCTCGCACGGGAAGAGMCTCCCCGCCCCTCCCTCCTCTGTTGAGCTCTGTTTAATGTTGGACGAGGAAGTGGCTTTGCTTTATTTACAGAGAGCAAGAGCATGTCACGTTCATCAGATAATTAATTCATAATTAATTCACCAGATAATTCCGAGACATTCTGAGTTTCATCACCCAGGAGCTGCGGGAGAGGCTCGCGGCTCGCTTTCAGAACTATTTTTGTCCCGAGTCCAGTCTGATGAGCAGCTGCCACGCGTTGGTGCGGATATCTCCTGTCAGGACACCGACTGCAGGCACTCGATCTCAGCTAAAGAGCTCCTCTCCATCTGTTTCAGATTAGTGGACATCATTCAGTAAACTGTCCAGTTGGGAAATCTGTCTCTACGTCACACAGTGGAGTCTCTCTGATTGGTTGACGCGGCGCGTCGAGCTGCAAAAGTTCAGATTTTCTAACCTCAGCGGTTTGCACATCAAGCAAGTTGAACGCTCAAATCGTTCAAATCGCGCTGCTCTAATCGCACTTGAGGCGCTGCAGCACTTCCCGACGCTGCTTGAAGCGCGTCCACTATAGACTTTGTATGTAAACCTGATGCTCCTGACGCTGAAATTGCGTTTGGTGTGAATGCACCATT